CTTAAACTTAAACTAGTAGATTCGGGGATTGAATTATAATTTAAATAAACCTAATTTGAGACATTTCTAACTCAGAATTTAAAAAAAATTATTAATATGTACTGCCAGAAATTTATAACTAATTAATATAATATCTTTCTAGTTGGAAGTTAAGATGCTGAAAATATTAAAGTAAAGTTGAGATAAAATTTTTATCAATCTTACGAAGCCCTAACCGAAACTATATTTAGAACAGAAAAAACAGAAAAAACATAATAAATTACAGGTTATGAATTAAAAATAGATTATCTAATATCAGAAGATTCGAAAGAATTAATTATTGATTTCGAAAATACTGTATGTTTTGCGTATAGTAGAGCATTTTTTGAAATTTTAAATTTTATTGATATAGATGAGGATAATTTTCCTTAAGATAACTAGAGTTTTAAAAAATCTGTCACAATGATAAATTGGAAAGGAATTATTACATATCCAAATGAAAATTCTAATGATAACCTAGTAACTAGGGGAGGGATTAATTATATTTTGGAAAAGAATAAGGATAGTACTTCATAAAAGGTAACAATCTCAAATTTTGAAGTATTTTTATGTTCAGAAAGCGAGTTGCTTGTGCATAATTTCAGTGATGTAGTGAAAAGACATGTCGTTTTACCTATGTTTGCGTATGTAGGATTAACTGAAAAGGAAAGCTAATAATAACTTGATATTTCAATCGAGAATTTAAATATATAAGTTTCATATGAAGATCTTACACCTATTTTTGCAACATATTTATTTTAAAAGCAGCAAATTGAATCATAAAAACCAATAAAATTAAAATAATAATAAGAAGAGAAGTTACTTTTAGTCAATGTTTAAGTATATTAGGCAGATATAGTCTTAGTATCTTTTATTGAAAGTCCTGTTCCTTTATTTTAATTTATTATTAAAGATTATCAGATGAGTGTTACAAAAAGAAGAAAGTATATTATGAATTAACAAACTGTGTTTCAAGCATAATTTTTTAATTTAGATATTGGTGCTTGGGAACCTTTTATTGAGCCCTTAGTTATATTAAGTGATCATTCGAAAGATTCTAAGGGCAACCCATAAAATTTCACTTCAATTGTTGTTAATGAAGCAAGTGAATTACCAATGAATATCAATTTCACAAGAGAAAATATTAAATAATTGTTAGAATTACATAAGAGATGGAGGTAATCTATTAAAAGTGTTGAATAAAGTATTTAAAGGAAGCAGCGCTCTCCGTCTAGAATTTCTAGAAATAGTTCCATTGCACAATCGGCCATAGAAAAAGTAGTTTTGATGTCTCCTTATATTGTTGATAATTAAACAGGGTATGAAATTGAACTAACAATAATTAATAAAACATAAAAGAAAATTGTAACCGTAGTCGTTGCCGCATATTAATAATTTGCATTAAAATATGCTGAAAACATGGAGAAAAGGGTGCTTTCAATATTTATAAGATCTCCTTCAACCATTTTTAAAGAAATAAACAATTTAAACTTTTCGAGAAATAAGGATGAATCAAGACAAATTGAGTACAAGATAGGAATGCTTAATAAATCGACCTAAATTTTAATTAGAATTGAAACTTTAGATTAATAAAAAATCCTGACTATTAGTTCAGATATTTTATTTATAAATAATAGCTCATCAGATATAGAATTGAAATTGATAAATAAAATAACATAATAATAATTCATTTTAGTTGTTTTACAAAATGATAAAAAGTATATTCCATTAGGATATGAATAATCAATGATTTTAGTCAGATATTCAAAAGACGGTGTTTGGTCTTAAGGAATGGACATATAAAAACTTATTTTGAAAAATGGAAATTATAATCTGTTTATCAATACTCCATGCTTAGTATTAAGAGTTATTCAACCTGCTCTGAAAACTTAACCTTGTGTTCTCAAATTTGTTTGTCCATTTGCTCTTAAAAACTTGCTACTGTTACCTATAGACATATATTTTTGTATTGAAGATTATTGTAGAATAGAACCAAATCAAGCATTAAAAATATCAAATTCATAGTTAAGTAAAGGTTTAAAGTTTAAAATTAAGTTGCCTGGATTTTAAAAATCCCAATAAATCGAGATAAACGATTAATTTAAAATACAAGATTTCATTATACGAGATTTTCTTGGTTTAGAGCTAAATTTATAATTAATTCCTTTATAGGATGGAGAAGGATTAATTACAATAGGAGTGGATGGCGGTTTAACTATCTAAAATTCTTTAGGATTAAATATATATTTTTATACTCAAAACTAATAAAAGTAATTGATTTATTAACCTGGATAACCAATATTTTAAATAACTGATCAAGTTGATGATAAATTAAGAGAAGATGGGTGTTTATAAATAGTTAATTTCGTGGATAATTTATTGATTACTTTTGAGTAATGCAATTAAGAATAAATCCCAGAAAAAATATCCTAACCTATTGATACTAAAATAAATGGTTAATTTATTGTTTAAATTCCAAAAGAATTAGGTTATATGGATATAATAATAGATGTTCAGACAATTTTAGCACATAATATTAGTTAAAAAAAAATAATTCATCTGAACCCGCGAATTGTTATTGTCAACAAACTAAAAACCAATTTATCTATATTCTAGGATCGTTGTAATTAAGAAATTTTTATAATGCCAGATGCTAAGTTCCCATATTTTTGGAGGAAGATTTAGGGATCGAAATATTTAAAGTTCAAACTTAAAGATCTAAGTAGTGGTTCAATATCTGCTGAAATGTAAGGAACCCTCAATTTACCTTTGAGAAATTCTAAAGGTTAATTAATGGATTATTTAAGTATTAACTGCATGGAAGAGGATAAAATTAAATACATAATAGTGCAAGAATGCTCTCAAAAACCTTTATATAAAATAATAAATAAATTGAATTATGACATTTGTTTTTATTAGACTGATATCCAAGAATTGAATGAGAATATCAAAACAAATCTACCAATAGGTGGAAGTGTTGACTATTCTCTAGATAACCCGGGGTATTCTAGAATGATAACTTTAGAATTATATAAAAATGGATAATTTTCTGATTTTGTGAAAGTAGAATTAGTTAATTCTGATTAAACACGACAATATAAGATGGCTGATGATGAAATATTCTATTTGAATACATAATTTTCTTTAGACTAAAGATAAATGATAGTAATTATATCCAATAGTGAGTAACACAGCAAATAATATAATTATGATAATATTCTTAATTAATTTAGCGTTCTCATACCAAAATTAAATATATCAATCATAAATTCACATCCGAGGGATGAACTTCTTGCTATATCCATTTAAAAAATAGAATTTATTTAATTAGCTGATATATTAGAAACTATTTAGATTAAAATTTAAGATTTATAAATTGATAATAATCAGCATTTTCGATGTACATATCCTGTTTTGGTAACATAGTAAAATGAAAAACCTAATATTCCTTTCATGAATGTTTTATTAAAAAGGGCCCATTAAATTAATTTCATTAATTATTTTTAAACTATAAAATTGGCCATCCAGCCTCTATCTGTTAGAATTACCGAAGGGACATTCTGTGATTTGGAAAGCTATCTAAAGTCTTTAGATTGGATTGAAGAATAAAAGATGAAATAATTGAGAATATGGCAAAAGGATCAAAGTTTAAAATAATAATTATGCTTTTTCGATAATTTATAAATTTTTCCACTTAAATTAAGACTATCCTTTTAGAAAGTGGAAAAAAGAAATAACAAATAATATCTCAAGTCAGCTGCTAGTTAAGCCATAAATTGCGATGAAGTAAGCGTTACAATTAAAGGTTATGCAATGACTAATTGTTTTACAACTTGGGAGTAATTGTAAAATAAAATGATACAAAATTATAAAGATGCTATTTTTTCTAATCTCTACAAGTTAGCAGGTTCAATCGATTTGTTAGGAAATCCTATTGGATTGATTGAAAATGTATAAGAAGGTTTTTAAGACTTATTTGAAATGCCATATGATGGATTTGTTCAAGGACCATTAGAAGGAGGTTTAGGTATAGTAAAAGGAGTTGGATCTTTAACAAAAGGGGTAGTATCTGGTACCTTCAATTCTGTTAGCAAAATAACTGGAAGTGTAGCTTCAGGCATATCATAATTATCGATGGATGATGATTATTTATATTAGAGATAATTACAAAATTCAAAAAAAGCTAAGACTGTTGTTCACGGTTTAGGGCAAGGAATGATCAGCCTTGTATCTGGAGTCGGTTATGGAATAGCTGGGCTTGTAACTCAACCTTATCAAGGAGCTGAAAAAGACGGAGTCGGAGGTTTTTTTAAGGGAGTTTCTAAAGGCTTAGCCGGCTTAGTCATTAAACCTGTAACTGGTGCACTTGATTTGGTGAGTAAAACTTCCGAAGGAGTTAAGAATACAGCTAATTTTTTCGACGAGAAACCAAATGAAATCAGAAAAAGACTTCCTAGAATATTTTATGGAGAAGAATAAATATTAAGAAATTATATGTTACAAGACTCAGAAATAATGTATATTTTAGATAGTAAAATATTTGATCAATAATTTTAGAGCTAATTCCTGGTTTAATGTTAATTGATACTTTCGTGTTTATGATCACTAAGTACAAGTTTGCCTATGTAGTCACTACAAAATAATTTATATTACTAGAAATATTAAAAAAGTAGGTTCTGATTGCATTTAATAATGAAAATTTAAAGGCATTTGAATCTCAATAAAAGGAATACAAGATATATCTTTACAATTCTAAAATAATATATAAAGAGAGAGCAAAAGTTAAGGCATTTATTGAATAAAAAAAAGAGTGTTTGATAATAAAGCAATAGGAAGAGATGATACATTAATTTTTAAATTAGAAGTTTAATTAAATACTTTAATTCATGTATGATGTCTGATTTTGAGATTATTAATCAATAATGGATTATTTTTAATATATATATAAATATTTTTTTTTCAAATATTTTAATATATAACTATCATTAATTTAATAATATTGAATGAGCTAATTGCTTTAATTTTTGTTGTTAGATGTCTTCAAAGGATTTGTATAAATAAAATTCTAACATTTAGAGGGGAATCTATTTAGCAACTTTAACTATTTATTTTATGTCATGTAGATAAGGCAAGTTATATATTGATAAAAAGCTGTAGACTTTGTGTGATACTAAACTAAACTACATATTTTTAAAATCTTAATTTATGTATTTATTTAGTTCTTGGTTAGTAACACTAATTGTAGGAGTTAATTAATCAATAACTTCCTAGGATAGTACTAATTTATTTTGGTACAATTTATAAAATAATCCAAGAATTGGTATGTGGGCATATTTATTAGTATTAAATAAAGAAGCTAAGATTTAAATAAAATTGCTTTAATCATGCTGCAACAATTTTAAAAAATATTATTTCTCTTTTAAATTTTTGATAAACTTATACTCATAAAGCCCATCTAGCTTTGAGTCAATCGTCTACATATCGCCAATCAATAATAAAGTATCAATATGATTAAGAGTGTTATTTGGATTTAATAAATCTTAATTATTTTAGCTTAAGACTTTTGATTGTACATAAATTGTTTATATTGCCTTATTTGTAAATGAAAAGTTTGATTAGCAGTAATTAGGATCAGAAAATATCTCATTTTTAATCTATAAATTTGCAGTTTTATGAGTCTTCACGTCAATAATTTTAAATATTTTAGGTCTTATTGATAAAACGTAACTCCATCTTAAGGCTTATAAATATTATTTATTATCTCCAGGGTTAGTTGGGTAATATGGGTACAAAGATAATAATAGCATACTGATTGCTTTTTTTGATTTTTTGAATGAATACCCTCCTTTTCCCATAAATACAAAACCAATAGCCATTTTTATTCCTTAATGGAAACCGAAATGCCAAATTTATGAATTTTCCATTTTTTATATTAAAGATTTAGCTATTGTCAATACTTCTTAATCAAAACTGCCAGCCATCAAAAGAGATAACCCTTATAAAGCATTAACAATATTAGTATAATAAGTGTATTAATCAATAGCGCACTTATTATCTGGGTCATTGGCAAATTCATTTTAAGATATTCTTAATTTTATTAAGAACTCTATTTATTTTATCATAAGTTATTTGACTTATTAATCATGAGTTCCAGCATATTTTATACCCATGGCTAATAATGCTCCAGATATCATACCTGTATATATCATACTTACAGACATAAAATCGATCACTTCTACATTATATACTAAATAGAACTTTTAATGGATTTTTTTTAAAGGTTGCTCGAACAAAAATGAAATTAATTCTGGAATTTATGAATGTAAATCTGCTTAAGTTGTTGGTATACTATCCCACATGATAATATTTCTAGTTAAAGATTTTAATATGATATGATTTGGGTTGCAACTCTCTAAACTACTAAAAGAATTAGGAATATTTAATTAATCTACAATATTCTATTAGTTCATTTACATAAACATTAAACTTAATGCCATTAGAGCAGCAGGGCAAGTAACATGTACATTAACCATGTTACCTTCTCGTATTGAACTGCTGACACTTTCATTTTACATAAAATTAGTAGATAATGAGGATTAAGGCGGAGGGAGTACTTTTCCTCCTTGAACAAATCTGATTAATCGATCTACAATTTAAAGTTCTCTTCTCCACACACTTCCTTTTCCTAAATTAATTAATCCTAATGCTATTCCAGCTGCAAGAGAATATCCCTCTCTATCAATCACTTTATCATTATGGGGTTTTCTACCTATTAAACCCAAAGCAACTTCAGTAAAATTTCTATTGCCGCTAGCCATAAATAAGAATCCGAGTGAACATAATGCACTCGTAGAAACATTACTTGGTAGCTCCAAATCATAAACACTAGGTATCAAACTTGGAATATGGACAGTTAAAGATTTTTAAGTAGGCTCATCACAAGTTCCAATTCTTGATGCTCCAATACCTAATAATACTCCCACACTTGTTGCTTCATGGTTTTATGTAAGAAGTTAATATAAATCTATCTAATTAAATGAATTTAGATATCCTAATAATCCTAATCCTAACATAAATCCTCCATGGATATTAGAAGGATTTTATGGTTTCTAATAAAATATCCAAGTTCTTAAGGATTCTTGACTTAAGCCTTTCAATTTTTTGGATAACTATAGCGACAAGGTAACTCCTAAATGAAATTCTGGCCATTATGTCATTTATGTATAATCTTCTCTTGTTGAATCTATTGTTAATTTCAAGCTATTTTATTGAAGGATTCCAGATAAGTTTAATGAAGGAAATTTTATTTAATCAGTAATAAAATGGTCGCTTGTACCATATGTTAATGATCCTAACCCAACAAACATAGCTAATTTTCGATTCAATAACTTTAATAATACTGAAGGAGCATCTTAATCCAATCTTTCTTCAGGAATATGTTCAGTCATTTTTGTTTTTATTCGAATGTCTCTTGTAAAGTCAAATTGTCTCTTAACTTGCTACATCAAATGTTAATCATATTAGATATCATGATCATCTTCATTCTATAAACTTTTTATTTGCCCACTTAAAATTGAATTAACATATTTTTTAAATTCACATTCTACAGGATTTTGAATATATAATTTGCAATTTAAATAAATATCCATTCTATCTATTAATAAATATGAATCTTTAGTAATTTATCCCATTAAGTCATTTGGAAAATTATTTCTTAATAAAGTGATTATTTCTAAAATAACAATTTTAAATTATAAAGGAAGTTTATTAATAATATCTCTATTCCAACGTTTTTCACTGCATAAATATAACATCAAAGAAGGCCCTCTTAATTTTGTGAGCATTTCTAGTTTATTTTTCTTTTATTAAATATATTTGATTTGCAATTTTTGATTTAAAACTTTTTAGAAAAATAGTTAAGTCTTTTGTACCTAATATAAAATTTAAAAGTCTTAAACTTCACACTATAATATTGAAGAAATATGGATTAATTGTTTCTTTAGAATTGATTACATTATGATGCACAATTATTTAGTCCTCTTAAATAATATCGGAAATGATATTGGATTATTCATTAATAAGCTGCTCAACCATTTATTCAAGTCTATTGGATTTTGAGGCAGAATTTTCTATTTGTTTTATTACTATGGTTACCCAAGCAAAGTCAAAGATCTAATAGTTGGCAAAAGGGATATAAAATTATCATTTTAATACATAGATTATAATGATGGATTTATTCTGAGGTAATAATCACTATAATTAATAGCAACTTCATTATCCATATTGAGGGAATAATAATATAGTAAAACCAGCAACTTATTAGCCTACTTTTCATCTGATAACAATAATTCTTAATACAATAAATGTAAAACATATAAAATCTTGTCTTAAATTTCATTAAACATCTCCATAGTCATGTGATAAATAAAACTTAAACTCTATTACTATTATTGTTATTAATGACAATATTAAGAATTGCTATCATAACTAGAATTTTCTTTGTGATAATTAGATTTTAATAATTATTAAAATGCTTTTGAACTTTCTTTCATAGGAGACTACTAAACCGATGGAGTGTTACTTTTAATCTTTTTTTAGATTTGATCTTCGCAATCTTTTTTATTGCTGCTTAACTTTAAGTAACATAACATTAGGTAAGTAAATCTCATGAATTCATTATCTATATTATTTTTTGACATTTCTAATTTAAGGTTCTGATTTTATAAGCAATTAATAATGACATCTTTAAATAGGCAAATGTATTATTGAGTATCTAAAGCAATCTTCAAAGAATGTAAGATTGTTTGTATTAAGGGTTCAGTTATAACAGGAGCGCAATTAAATTAAGAGATATCATTAATTTATTCGTTAATTTGATAATTTAAAAGGATTTTGCTACCACTTAATAAAGTAAATGTAGAATTCGTATGTAAGATCAATAAATTTGATGGAATATTATTGTGATTAATAATTTGATAAGCCACATATTCAAATTGATTATTTTAGTATTTCAGTTTCTCTTTTTTAATAGATATAGTTTCAGCACATATTGAATCAATCATGTTGAATACTTATATTTAACTAACTTTTTATATAGTTTAAACTACTTTTAAACTATTAAAAATATTTTTGCTTTTGTTTTCTTCTTAGAAATTCATTTCTAAAATTCTTATTGTATGATCTGATAATAAACAAATTAATAATTCTCCATCAACATTACTTCTAATTATTTCACATTATTTTGCCTTTTCTTCTTTAATATTTTCTTCATAATATAATTCGCTAATGATCTAAAATTAGTTTATGAGAATACTTACTTGGCAATCTGTTTTTTCAGTAAGATTGTAATTTTGCACTTCTTGTTTATCGTCAACTTTTAAAATATAAACACAATGCCTCATCAATTAAGAATTATAGGTTATCAATATTGGCAGAATTTTATGGGCATAAATAATTTCTTCTTGCATATGTATCCAAGGCTCAATAGTCCCTAATGTGCTATTATAAGTTCCTAATGTTGTAATAGAGGCTAGAGGATGATTTAATACTATAGAGTAATTAAATTCATCCCTACCCCAACCTAGCAAGAGACCTTCAGATAATGGAAATACTTAGTTTATTTCAACATCCAAAGGTAAAAAGAATTAATTCCCTCCTTTCGATAAAAAATTAATTGATTTGTCTGATTGATTTACATAATATTGGGTATTAGATTGGCTGAGGTAATCATATAAATATACCTTTGCTAATAAATGGATTCTTCCTAAATCTTTTCAATGGACGTGATTTCGTTGAAGAAACAGCTTTATTAACTCATAATAATTTCAAATTTAAATATTAGTATTACTATCAAATAATGCTTTTCGCTATATACACATTTTTGCGATCATTCAAATATGTTAAAAAATTGGAACTTCTAATAAATGTTTGATACAGCTTCACAAATTTTTGTTTATTTTCAAACAAATCCTAAAATGAGACTTTGCAGTTTTTGGTAAATTCTAAAAACTCTTTCTCATCGAATTTTTTTACTTACTAGTCATAATATTGATGAATACATTTTATTAAGATGCAAAATACATTTCAAAAAGTCCAATGAATTCTAAAGACATATTTCGATAAATCTTTTTTATTAATGAATTATTAATTGTTTTTGTTTCTTCATTTTTTATTGGGATCATCATTTTCAAAGTTTGTTTGTCATCTAGCAAACAAAATTCTTTATTGCCTTATGTTAATAATCTGATCTATTATGCTTATGAATCACATCTAATAATAATTGGAAATTTTTTGAAAGCCTATAATTTAATACATATTTTACTTTCAGAAAGAAAGGATTGGTTACTCCTATAATGATATTTCGAACTATTGAATTTTCAAGTTCCTAATTGATTTATTGAAATTCCTTATCATAAATAGTGAAATATGGTCTGTAATCCCCACTATACTTCATAGGTGAAATTAAGCTAATCATTCCAAGTATAATTTCACTGCACTGATAAGGTGAATCTGCTATAACCATAAATTATTGATTTGTGACAATAAGTTCCCATAGCTTTGGTAAATGAACTAACATAGCATGTCTTTTAGTTTTTGATTATTTAATTACGGTAATGCTGCAAAAATATTGGCTTCCTAAAATTATCCAATGTCTCTTAAGTCATCAAATTGAATCATGTTTGTAAGAGTTAACTCTTCTAACACTTCTTATAATTCAACATTCATTTAAGAATCAACCTTTTACATCTTTAAATAATGTGGAACTTCCACTGCTATTTTATTATTAAATATTTAGAGATTAAATAATTTATTGGGCTATGGTTTTTCCCAATTTACTTATTTATTCATAAGCAAACTTAAGTATAAAAATATATTTTTACTTGTAATTATGCTTTTAGACATCCTTGCTTGATATTTGAATAAATCATTTCTAATAAATTATAATAGAAAGTAACAAGAGGCAAATTTGTTAAAATTACAATTGATTTTTATGTATAACCTCTTGGATTATCTTCATCTTTTCTTTACATGAATAATGCAAATCCCAATGAAAATCTATTTTTTCCACCTGACCTTCTAACTCTAAACACATACTTAAGATGTCCTATTTTGGAATTACATATTATACCTTCATTTTAAGAAAAGGCATTAGAATCTGGGAATGCCAACATGCTTATATTTTTTTCTTCTTATTCTGTTATTGATGATAATGGTTAAGTCCATTCTACAATTTAACCAATTTCAATGTCAAATTTAACCAAACAAATACTCTCAATCCATTAAGAAAGCATGATAGATACTAATACAAATAAAATAATAATTATAATTCATAAGGATAATATAATTATAATGATTAAAGTTAAGTTAGAATTGTAAAAGAAGATAAATTTTCCTTCATGCTTAAATGCAAAAGAGATTTGAATTTTAAAATTAATATAAAAATATTGCTATATCAAGGATTGTAAATTATATCACCTTTGCATGGTTCCACCAGTGCTTTCTTACATACAATTATAATAAAAATTTTTCAAGATTATATCCTTAGGATAATTCTCCATTACATTTTGTTAGAGTGGTTTAATATATTAAAGAAATTCTGCTTCACCTTTACCAAACTCCTCTTCATCAAAATTAAAGGCAAAACAATCTGGTTTGAAGGGAGGTTCTATCTTTTTTGACAATAAATCTTTATAAAGGTTTTTATCTCCCCATTGAATCATCCAAGGATGTCGTAGGATGGTATCAATGCTTTCAATTCTTTTTTTTGGATTCTTTGCCAACAAACCATTCAAAAGATCTTTAATAGATGCAGATAAGTTTTATGGAAAAGTAAGTTTAGCATTCAATATTCTTTAGTATATTTCATCTGTGTTTCTAGAATAGAATGGAGGTAATCCTGTAACTAATTCATATAGAAGTGCTCCTAGACAGTATAAATCTAACTAAATAGTGTGGCCTGCTTTTAAGAGCATTTCAGGTGCCATGTATTCTGGACTACCACAAAAAGAGTAAGCAACTTCTTGGTCAACCATGCCTGGTTTTGATAATCCAAAATCAGCAATACGAACATGTCCATCAAAATCAATTAGAATATTTTCTGGTTTGATATCTCTATAAATAATATTATTATCATGGAGGTGTTTCATTCCAAGACAAATCTCAGCAAAGTAAAAAAATGCTTCTTATTCGTTCATTCTTTTTACCTATAGTTATGTTGATTTATCTTTACCTTTCTTAATAAATAAAATAATTCTCCTCCAAAACAATATTCTAATACAAAAACTAAATATTTTCGTGATTCAAACGCATATTATAATCCAACAATAAATGGATGATCCAAATTTGACATTATATCCCTTTCTTATTAAATAATTTATTATTTATTTTATTATAGAATAGGCTTTTTTTCTATCAATTTCATCGCGTAAAATTATCCTGTATGCATTTCTCTAACCATATATACTTTTGAAAATCCACCCATCCCTATGCACCTTATAAATTCAAAATCTTTAAGAGTGACTCTAGCTGCTTTTGGTTCATTAGGATTCATAATAATTGGTTCTATTTATAAAGGTTAAATTGGAAATCCTGATAATAAACTTAAAGGTTTATCAGGTTTAGATAGAATAAAATCAACCGGTATAGAAATTCCAGTAGTTCTAATCCCTTAAATTGGTATTCCAAGTTCTTGCTTAACAAAGTCAATTAACCATTAAATTTTATTCATAGATATGTCTATTGCATATTTTTAACGGAAGTTTTTATATTAAAGCACAATTGTCATCATTTCCTATTTTCTGTTAATAATAAAATAAATTTATACCTAGCAGTAGTTGGTTTAAACTTCTCTAAAAATATGAGCGGTTATGATCCAGAATGTGTTTAAAATTTTTATTCAATTGATGGGCTCTTTGGAAAGAATGATTGCTATTTAGAATTCTTAGTTTTAGCTAATAATTCTTCTATAAGTTTTTTTTCTTTGCTAACTACTTTACTTGTAGCTGAAAGTGGAATTGACATTAATTATTGCATTGACTCCTTTAAATTAACTTATGAGTTCTAATGAGAATGTGGCTATGTTTTCATATGAATTTGACTCAAAACCTTTGGAGACATAAGGCCAATTCTTGATTTAGTTGTTTCAGGTTATTGTAATTTCCTTTAGCTTTGTCTCATCATGTTTTAAAGCAATGTTTATTATTACTAAGTTACTTTAACTGGTTATGGACTTTAATGGGTTTAGGTCTTCATTTTTAGCAAATCAAGTTATTTGGTTGGAGATTATCTACCATTTTATGAATCTCTATTTGAGAGAAAATTGATTATTGCTTAGGCAGAGATGTCAGAAGACTAAGTTTTATGATGCTGTTTCTTTGGAGGCATTAATAATTAAAATTAATGGAAGATAATTATAATACTAACACTAGTTCATAACCAAATGAAAATCCATATCCTAAATTTGAACCTGAAAACCAAAACGAATAACCTTAGTTGGAACAACCCCCATAATATGCTTAAACAGATGATCTCAATCAACCATTGATAATGGGTGAAGATTAACATGATAGTGGTGAATACATAGATTAATTTTTATTGTACACAAAATATATCAACATTGGTGCTGGGTAAAATATTGTAATAATGAAGAACTTATGTTGCAATTGGGGGGTTATACTTTTTATTCACTTTGAAAATATGGAATTCCTCCAACTTTTTGATGTCATTTTACACAATGTTTCTTCCATTATTTTATGTGTATAAAAAATCAATATCAACATATAGGTTCTTTGGAGTATTGCTAATATTGTCTGAGTATTACAAACTAGAAGTGAATATCTATTTTAGATTTTTGAGATCTTATTTGGGAAGAGGAATATACAATATTTTGTAATATATATTGTGTATTTTTTTTAGCTTAGGTACTTAATGTGTTAATCTTTGGGCTAGGTCAAGTGATTTTTTCAGCTGGATACTCTTCACTCTTGGTCTAATCTATCTATTTTTACATATAATTAGATCTAAAATTGATTCAGATGTAAAATCAAAGCTATTAGATTGATTTAATATAAATCATTTAACATTTTACAATAAGAATTATAATAAAAATATGCAAGTCCAACCCTAACATGAAATGTCACATTATTTAAGTTAAAAAACTACCAAAGGAATGAATATTTTTAAATTAAACTATATAGGATGTCTTCTACAATCATTTAGTATTATCTTAGGGTAAAGGATTTATAAATTATTCATAGAATTTTTGTGTATTACAACATCATAATTAGACTTCAAGTAACACTTTTACTTAGTTTTCTGTATAATAATATATTTGAAATGTATTCTAATACTCTATCTATTGTTTTTTAGGTTCTTTGCCATTTATGCATTTGTTTAGCAAATAATTTGTTGAAAAGTATTTCAGATTTTATTGTGAATTTTATGGTTAAGCATTGTGGATTCTTTTGATTATTCAAAATCTAGAATTAAGGTACAGATTTATCAGAACTGCCTTAGAATAATATGTAGTTGTATTATTCTTATGTATTTTACTTAATCAGCATACAAAAATACTAAATTATTCAAATGAATAAATTAGATGAGTGTTTTATAAGAATATAAAATTTATTACTAATATTATTTTTTATGAATTAATAGGTTTAGACTAAGGTTGCTTCACAATTATAGTTTATTGTTCCATAAAAGGCTCAATTAATTTTTGACGTAAATCAAGCATACCAAGCTTATTCTTTACCAAAAATTCAATATCGATAATAGTTACCTGATGTTCCATTAAAATCAATAAGGCAATTTGATGAAAAATAAGAGCAATCGAAATAAAAGAATGATAACTAGATTTTTAAGGAATGGAATGTAAATTACTAAGAAGATATATTGTAAATGATATTTAATAATTTAAGCAAAGAGATTAGCAAATAATAAATAACTGAAAGCTTAACAAAATACAGATTTATTAGATAATTTACGATCTATTTCTAAATAGCCTCCTAAAAAGAAAACTCGTATGCATAAGACTAAATTCAAAATAGTAAAAAATGAAAAAAACCATCCAATTGTAGAGTAAACCATGTGCTAATATATTTCTTAAAAGTGTTTATTTTAACATTAATTTAGCATTTAAACATAAGTACCAGGAAGTGCAAATAATCAAGATTACGATGCAAGTGCTCCTTTCTTTATTCCAACATTAGAATTTGCAGAATAATTGAATGAAGAAAAATAAACTTTTAAAAAAGTAATAAATAAAAAATAAGACTAAGAAATACGGATTCGATGATGTGACTTTAAGGAAAAATAAATTAATATTGGAAGAAGTCATTTTATTGAGATTATAAAAGAAAGAAAAAATAAGACAGAAAAATTAGATAATAAATTAAGTTAAGAAAGAAAATGATTTCGATTAATAGCAAAAGAATAAAATTAATATATAATATTGAATTATATACTAAATTATCATTTTATGCATAAAATAACAAGTAGTATTAAAGCGATATTTATATGCAAAATGGATTCACAACTTTGCTACTAACTAACAAAAGTTATTTATTGCACAACTGTTTCTTAATATTATTTTGTTAAACAATCATTTAGCAAATCAGTAGATGAGTAATAGATTAAATATCTACTTAATTATAAAATCATACTTTTAGCCATCTATCATGTCCTTAAATGTCAAAGTTGTATTTTCATTTTTTGCTAATTCTGCAAATTAGACTCCTTCAGATATATTGCTGAATGTACTTAAAATGCCTCTTCTAAGCATGATACCAGTAGGATGTTTAATTACATTTTCAAAAATTGGTTCAATTTTCTAAAAATATTAATTAAATTTATACATGTAATCCTACAATTCCAAGTACATCTTGATTAGCCTTTATTGTAATATCCAAACTAATAGTCTTGAATTCATAATTTAGTAAAACTAATTATGTTGCTAATTCAACATTAGATCTTTTTGGGGGTTTCAGTTCTTAATACAAAAAGCTTTCATAATTAAAGGTAAGTGAGAAATCATCTGTAACATTAATAATACTTAAAATTGTTTCATTTGTTAAAATTAATTGACTTGTCAATCTTCTATGTAATATCAAAATTTTAACCATTTGAGGATGGATAGTTATTTGAAATAAATTTTCATTGTATATAAATTATCTAAATATTTTTTATTTTTCTGTCGCAGATCTATTTTCAAAGGGAACAAAATCTTGAATTAATTGTAAATATTATTTGTAATTTATTTTATCATAATGGATATTTTTAAAAATCTACATTATTTGCATTCTCTAGATAGCACTTAATAATAATTAATTGATAAGTATTATGCTAAGGCACAAAGAATATTATTTTCTTACTAAGATGATATTTTTTATTTAAATTTTAATGATAACATTTTACTTAATGATTTATTATTCATTGAGGTTTCGTTAGCTATATATTGAAAGTTTGTTGAAATTTCTGATGTATTTCCATTTAAATTTTTACAGTAATACCCAAAAGAATATTTTGTATTAAATTTCATATTGGAGAGAGTGAATGTTACTGTAGTATCAAAATAATTTAATTTAGATTAGATTCGTTGTAAATGTAATTGACTTGTTTTTTCTAGCAAACTTAATCTATTTATCATCATTCTCCTTATAGAATTCATCAAAGTTTTATAAGAATTGTCTTTTATTAGAGACTAATTTACTTAGCTTACAATGTCATAATCATTATAAGTAATTTGGTTTCCAATTCTATTATTATAAATATTCATGATTAAATTTGAAGGCAGTATCTCATATTTGAGAAGGTAACTGCTCTCCTATTGTAAGGTTGAATTTTCAGGTTATAATTTAAATAAATCATAATCTCCTGTGAGTTCGTTAGAAATTGAATTAGATTTTATTTTTTCGAATGATTCATCTGTAATTTCATCAATTCCAATCACAAGTAAAATTTCAGAAGGTTAAGAACATGTCATTGATAAAGAAATAGTGTTTGATGTTTAACTGTATAATCCCTTCAAGGGAGTTGCTTTGGGTTATTCAGTATACTATAATATTGCAGATATCGAGATTGGTATGTTATTAACCAATATTTAAGTAATAATACCTGGAAGAGTTTCATTGGTGGCTTTGATTTAAAAAATATAGCTATATTCTGGAGCCTTTCGAGTTGTTCTTTTAATAAGTTCAAATCTATATCTTGATATACTCATTTAAATAGGAACTAATTATAATTTATTGTTATCTTAAATAGTAACATTCAGTTTGGTATCAACAATAGGAATACATTCAGATGAATCGATTATTATAGGATGCGTATAACCATTAATGGGTAAATCGTATGTAGACTTTTGCGGAATTAGTTCACAACCTTTATTAATAATTTCTAAATATAAAACAGGAATTTCTGTAAATGGATTATAATAATAAATAGGATTCCATGAATTACGATCAGGAAATGAAATAGTATATTTTA